TGAAAAAGAGTTTCAGTCTCACGTTTCGAAGTTGGCAGCACTCTAAGTTCGCTGCAAAATCATCACTAATAGTCATGCAGTTTTGACACGTGCAGAAAAGTCGATTCGACTCTAAACACTGCAAACCTGCAATTGAGACATGAAAAACAGTTTCATCGGTTGAAAAATGACTGCAAACATCGTCAAAAACGTCTGAAATTTCAGTCTCAAATGTCAAACCTGTCGAAAAACCTGAAAACATCTCGGAAATCAAGGGACTCAGCACTAAGGATTGGACACCCTGAGTCGTGCCACCTGCACTCGCACTCTGCTGCTGATCATCCGTCGCAGGCCAACTCCAAGATTCGTCCCAATTCTCCTGTCCTTCTTGCCACGTGCAATCCCAAGATTCATTCCAACTGTCATTCCAGACCTGTGCAGTTTCATACCATGACTGGTCCTCCCACCAAGAACCATCGTCATGCCACCACATGTCCGCACTGTCCCATTCCTCATCGTATCCTACTTCGTTCATTTTTCCTTTCTTGCCAAAACCTTTACCTTTGCCTTTGCCTTTCTTCCCTTTCTGCTTTCCTTTGCCCTTAATTACTCCTTTTCCTTTCTTTCTCTCTGGGCAATTTGCAGAAATATGGCCAAATTTCTGGCATTTGAAACACTTCAGTTTTGACAAATCAACATCATGCATTTGAACTGTGTCTCCTACTTCCACAGGTACCACATCGCACACCCCCTACTGCATCTAAATTCCAGTTTCCATCACCATCACTTGCAGACATATCATATTGCACAGTGGATTCATCTGAACCTTCCACCTGGGTGACCTGGTATAGATTTTTCTTGGGGTGGAACTCAGCGAAAGCACGCTGCTGCTGTTCCCATCTCAGTGCTGTGGCCCTAAAAGCTTGGTACGACTCACCTCCAGTGTGATGCAAAACGTCCTGACTGCTTCAGGCAAACTACGTAGCAAAACAGCTACCAAGTCAGCTTCGGCTACATGCAACCCTGTGGCATCAATTCTACTTGACAGTGTTCCCAGCAACTTAGAATACCTGGCCATTTCAAAGTCTATCTTTCTGATTGTATCTGTCACAATCGTACTTGCACTCGTTTCGTTTCCATGCAGTGCAAAAGACTTTCCTGCCAATGCCGTTCTAAAACTAAGTGCCTCACTCCTCGTCCTGATGCTGTACTCAAGGGTCAGCTGTCTCACCAGCTCAAAGCCATTCGAAGCTTGCAACTCTGCATTCACACCAACATCCGCATTGCACAAGTTGATTCCTTCACTGAATGCATTGATCAACGTCAAAGTTCTCGGGTGATTTCCAAATGCACTTCTCAAAATAGCAAGCAACCTTCTGCTTCTTGCACGTTGCGGCACAGCTAATTGATTCCAGTGCAACGGATCTGGCTATCTACAGGCATGCTCGATCTCACTTCCGAACTCAAGGCTGGCTTGCATCGCCCAGGCTGTTAAATCATAGATGTAAGCTTGCCACCCTAGGATTTCTGCTTCTCTACTGGTCCACTTTGCACAATCCGGTGTTGGAGGCGTTCCCAACCATTTCTCACTTTTAGCAAATACGTCACCTACGTATTCCCCGGATGTTCCTGGTACGTGCATTGGATCCATACTTTGAGGAAACCCATTTGTGGCCCTTTGTCCAAACATCTCAGGTACACCTCTAGCCTGGCCAACCTGTTCTCCTATCACCTGCCTGACTTGCATTAACTGCATCGGTTCCAAACCTCCCATCAGCCTCAGCACATCTTGTAACCTTTGATTCTGGGGTGTTACTCCGCCAATGTCCGGTCCCATGCACATGCCTCCACTTTGACCTTGTCCTACCTGACCTTGTCCTCCTTGACTTGGGGCACCACCGCAATGACCTGACATCCATGGCATTCCATAACATGCACTCCCCTGTCCAGGTTCTTGACTTCTACCTGTGCTAGCTTGGGCACTTTGACCTGCAGTTCCCATGCAACCTTGTCCTGGCATCCCTTGTCCGTGCAGACCTTGTCCTACCTGACCTTGTCCTGTCAGACCTTGTCCTCCCTGACCTTGTCCGAACTGACCTTGTCCTAACAGACCTTGTCCATGCACACCCTGACCTGGATACCCTTGACATGCAGTACAACCACTACATCCATGACCTTGACATCCCAGAAAACCCTGGTTTTGACTATAGTTCCGTGGATCCATCAAACCACCACGCATCGGTCCGTATGTCCCAAAAGTATTCCATGCAGGAGGTAGCATCTGTCCAGTTCCAACTAAGCTTCCAGCTTGACCAACTAAGCCCGGAGCCGCTTGTGTCGCTGCTGTCCCAGTTCCTACTGCTGCTTGCGTGTTGCCTTGCATCGCAGTACCTGTGGGCGAATTACCTGCAGCACCTGTGTTTCTTTCTACGCCTTGCTCACCTCCTCCTTCCATTCTGTTCATTGTTGGCGACCCTACTGGTCCTACATGCAGTGAGTTCATTCCTAGCGCACTTCCTTGGCCATTAGGTCCTTGTCCCTGGTTACTTCCTGGCATCATCGCGTCTACTCACACTACGCGTGGAGCACAACCGCTCCGCTACCATGCGAAAATCCAACAGGACCTAATTACAACCACTAGTCGCGCTCCTAACGTCGCAAGGGGTCGGCTTAACTCCGCGTCGAGCGTTTAACAAATTAAACACGAATTCCCCAAAACACGACGGCTTCACTGCGAACTCTCAAATCCTTTTTCCACACAGGAAAAACACGAAGGCAAGGAAAGATTGTCTGTCATGCACATGCAGCATGTTATAGTTGGACTTCTTCTGTTTCAGCTGCTTTGCCTTTGCAACATGCAACGGCGGCGGTAGACAAACATCATCAACATGTTGGTGAATTCAGTAAAGCTGAATTCACCATCTTTCCAAAAATAAATCAGCTTCACTTCCATCTTCTCTTCAAACGCACTATTTGCACAAAGTCCAAAAACATCCAAACTGTTGACAAAAATAGTTGGCAGCTTCCGAAAATAAAACGCATCATGCAGAAAACAAATCCAGTCAAGGTTGTGGTTGAAAACGCATGCACATGTGTTTGAAAAACAACGTTGAGCTTGTTCAAAAGGTCGTCGATACCAAAATCATCTTCAAATTCATTTGCAGTCCAGAAAACCTCGTTGCAAATGAATTTCAGTTCCAAAAACATTCTTCTTCTCCACCAAGTTGACGAAAAACATTCACATGCACATAAAACGCATCTTCACGGTATTGTAACCAATTCCAGTTGTTCTCAAACCATTCTGCATCAATTTCAGAGTTCTGCCCAAATAAACCATTGACAACATCATGTTGTAGCCACCATGCAAGTTACATCCAGAAACGTAGCACATGCAGTCCATATGCACGGGAGTGTATATTTCCATACATCATTCTCCCTAACAGCTCACGAGTTTCAATGCTGACCTACCAAGCCATCGTTGCAGTTCGATATCCGGAGTTAGTCCTCCATGAGTCCAACCATATCTACATTGGCCATTTCGTGCCACATGAGTCCACTATAGCCATTGGAGGCTTCCGCACAGTATTGTGGAAAGCCCTAAGGATCTCAGGTCTGCAGTTGAGGATGTGGTTGCCTTCTGTACCTACCTGAAGAATTATTATCGTAACTTGCAACAGGGAGCGACCTCGCAGCTGCTTGTCTTATGCAACCGTACGGCTGTACATAATTTGCTACTCCAATATGGCTTTCAGACCTTTTTTTTCCGTCCAACGCCTCCAAGGCTTTCGCCAGGTCGTTACACAAGCTTCAACTTGCCGGAAATTGAATTGACCAACATGGCTTTCAGACCGAGTGGTATGGTCGGCTGCGAGTTTCCACCACCTCCTCTGCTGCAGGAGCGACAGCACGCATTGCTGTCATTGTTCAAACAGGGGTAGGCTTTCTCAGTGGAGGACGGAGAGATTCAACAGCAGACGAGCGCGAGGACTGCTATGGAAGGGCAACTGTAGCGCTGACAAGAGCCATTGACCATACCTATATTGTCTCGCCTCTTGAAATGGCAGGCATGATTGGAATGGCACAGACAATAGGGGTTTACCATTACGGATACTTCACGTTGAAAGCCCGTGACATTCAGTACCATGGCCCTACAAACTACCCCAGCGACAGATGTGCCATACTGGACTGGGGATTATCGGTGCCCTTTACTCCCCAAGATAAACCGCCCCTTGCTATTGCCATGATACTGACCACCAATGGCACACGAGCGTGGAGACGATATCGGCTGGTAGTGGCATGCAGAGACAGGCTACGGCTTCCCCCTAATGTCCTCGCAGCGCTAGAGTCCCGCACACGTGACCATGTGCTGACGACCAGCGGATTTTTCCCCTGCTCAATTGATCGTGAGTACCTATATGGTTACGCCGCTGATGGTTACAGATCTCCCCTCTGGCTGTGTGCAGCTTACAATGGGTCCCCAGCCCTCGTTCATCGACACAGAGGTCACAAGGTTTTCTTTCATGCTGGTATACAGGATCGACAACTCGTGGTAATCCCTGGTATCCATTACTTTGATGCCCATCGGTTGCAACCTGAGCTTTTGGCCACACTAGATCGCCAATTTGATCCAGGCACTACTATTGGGTGACCAGAATAAATTACACGAATCAGAACCATTCTTGAAGCCAAAAACAGCTTCAAAACTCCTCCTTCTTGGAATTCTTGGAAGCTTGATCTTGAACGGACATGGCAGAAGTACTCTCAGAAGAATGAAACTCGAAAAGGCTGCAGTGGAAAAAACATATAAACATTTTAGACGAGACAAGTTGAGTATAATATCTATCTAGTTGCCATACATGATCAAAACAAGATCATGTAAACCAAGGACAACACTATTTCCAGACAATGCCGTATTTCATATACCACACAAATCGCAACAATCCAGGCGCATTTTTCTCGGAGAGATCACGATCGATTCGGTGAGACAATATGTCTTTGGGCTTTGTAGGCATTTTATGACCTCAACCGCGAGTATTCGAAGCTTTCTTTTGCTTCTTATTCTTATATTCCAGAGCGTCAGAGAGAGGAAGTGTCCACAGTACGATTTTGCAGGTTTTCATGAATCCTTTTCGATCTAAAAGTGGACTGAAACCTTTTTCTTCCTCCAATTCCGCGACGAAGTTCATCAGCTGTTGCATCCACAGTTTCAATTGTTCCTGACTGCTCAAAGATTGCTTGTCCTTGCACTTTGCAGCAACATTCTTTGATGCATCAGCAAGAAATGTCACTCGCAAAGGGAACTGCTCTGGCAAAATATTTTCTCTCTTGATATACAGGATGTCAAATTGGCTCACTTTGACGATCCCTGTCATTGTGACATCAGCTACGACCGGTGAACCTTTCTTCGATTTTGTTACCTCCGCTTTGGGTTTTCGATTGTCCTGTAAAGTGTCGAAATTGAACACCAGCCATCCTTCATCAATCATGTGATCCCAGCTCAAAAAGCCGTCCACAGGCAAGCATTCGTTCAAGTCAAAGAAGGACATCACAACCCGATCCAGATGATCATTTGACTTGTTGAACTCGTGCTGCTGGTTCAGAGTAGTACAGCTCATGAAATTGCCCTGACCTTCGCTGTCCAACCACAAAAGCTCAATAAGCATCTGCAAGTTTTTCAATCTCCTCAGTTTCCGATCTACAGCCTCGAGTAACGGATCTAAATCCTCTTTCACTTTCATATTCGCTGCCGAAATCTTGTTGTACAAATTGTAACCAAGATTGTACTGTTTCTGAAATGTGGAGAAACGATGTTTGCGAATTTGCTGGCTGGCACACAATGCCATGCCAATCATCTGATCGTCTGATAATATCTGCAGCTCCAGGGCATCAGAAATAATAGAAACGAAGTCAAATATCTCATTTAATTCCTTTTCTGAATCTTTCTCCGATTCTTTCTCCTCGGTTTCCCTCCCCGGATTCACATCCTGTGTTCCGCTTTTGCTTGGACGAGCTCTGTTTCCTCCGGGCGGGTTCCAAGCAAATGCCGGGCTAGCGGCCTTTGCCTTTGGCTCTGCAGTTTTTTTCTGCAATACCGGGTTCAACAGTTTCAGCTGCTTCAGCTGATTCCTCCGCTGATGATTTTCTTCATCCAGTCGACTGATATTTGCCAAGAGTCGGGGATTTAGAGGACAGAAAGGCTGTGAATGATTTCTCACCCATCGCATTGTGACGTTCCAACGTGCGTCTTGCTCGTTGACCAGATTCAAGGCGTCAATACGTCTAACTTCCTGTCGCATCAAGTCTTTCGAATTCGAAAACCACTCCAATTTTAGTTTCACACCGTCCCAAGTAGTCAAGTCGTCTGCACAAGCAAGAAGCTCTTTGATCTCCTGAAAACTTGGTACACCATGTTTGTAAGCTCTCTGAAACTTGCCGCCCATCACAAGAATTGTTCCCGGAGGCTGATACACAACAAACGCACGTTTGCCCTCGGTCTTCTCTTGTTTCTCTGGTGCTCTGCTGGAGATGATAACCAGCAAAGACCCGAGTCGGCAGGAGAAAGAAGTAATGGGATCTTTGTCCACATCATATCCTTCTTTAATGTCATCGTGAAAAGAGATTCCATGATTCTTGTTGTACGTGTAGCGGTTGATCAGCAAATGAAAACCTCAGCCGGACCAAAAGATTAAATTATAATGATGCCTTTGTCTTAAAAAATAAGAATAATAAGAAACATTATACATACATAAGCAAATAGACCCAAATTACTGTCGAGAAACTTCCAGATCGGCTATACCAAGAAGACGCATTGTCTTGAAGGAAATGTTTTTCAAAGAACTGCTGTATGGCCAATCCCTGCATCGAATGTCGTGCAGCATAGGTAGTACGAACTCTTTCCTGCTTGTTCTCGCCTCCAAAGGAAAATATACATTGACACGATCCTCTGTTTATGGAGGCACTTTCATAATACACCACCCTGTTGTTGCTGATCTGCACAGTTTTCGCAGGATTGTGAGGGTTGACTTTTCTCTCTTCGTCCAGCTTCATGTCAAAAACTTGTTGGCCAAGCATCGGAATCTCGTTCAAGATGTCTGTCGGACTTGAGCTGCTCATCTGGAACAAACAAGAGTGTGTTGTAGACCCCTTTTCCAAATTCCGTGACAGATCATCAATCTGAGTGTAGTTACTTCCTTTGCCAATCATCTTGCAGAACTGCAGCACATCTTCTGCTGTATGAGCCATTTCAGGCCAAGCGAGAGGCATTGCCATTTCGAGAGAGGTTAGCAAACAAGCTAAAGCAAATGCTAATGAAATTGTTCAATAGATTTATGCACAAGCCACTAAACTCAATTAATCATAGCAAAGTCAGTTTACTACCCGATCACGAACGATCCCGATCACGGATCAACTGACAGTGCAGGAATCAGCAGTAGGTGTCTGCATTGTTGTTTCTCATCGTTTCCCTTGTCGATTTTGACAATGTGACTAGCACAGCTTGACATAAAATGTAAACGACAGGTGAATATGTAAATGGTGCTGTGACAACAAGTAAACATCATGACTGATAAAACAGCAGGGCTCTTTGTTTTGTCAGGCAGTCGTGTTTTAAAAACGCGAACAAAAGACAGCCACTATTTAGTAGTTGTCCAATGCCATACGGTTCTTGTGAGCCATTGAATTGTCATATGGAACTCCCAAAATTGAAATTTTTAATTCTTCTTCATCATGCACTCGAATCCTGCTCTTTCTCTCGTTCTCGAAATGAATTAATTGGAGCAACCAAGAATATACACGCCTTTCTGGAGTGTGCGAACCGCGCTCTTTGGCTTGCTTCACAACTTCTTGTAATGCGTTGGGAATGAAATTGAAGCGTAGACACACATCGTGCCCTGCCTCTGCAGCTAATAGAGGAACATCCAGAAAATGTATTCTAAACATATCTTTGAGAGCAACATAAGTGGGCTCCCGTTGTTTATTTTCGATCATCTCTGCAAACACCTCATCCGGCATTGCATCGAAATTGAGAACGAGCCATCCACGCTGCACGATCTCACTCTCAAGGAGACAGCCGTTTTCCAATAAAGTCTGCAAGGTGTTTAAATTCATGCTGAAACGCTTCATATGATTGCGTATAGAAGACCTCGGTATACTCGGAGAGCTAAAACATGACAGAAAAACTCCTTCGAATGTACTTTCCAAAAATAGAAGCGAGTCCAAGAACAGCAGGCCTTTCAGAAGTTTGCGTTTTTTGCGGATTCTTTCAGTCAATGCCTCAGACTGTTTTTTTGAAAGTAATTTATCGTTGCACATGTCGACAATGTCGGAGCTCAAATCTTGCAGCTTCTGAACCACAGATGTCAATTCGATCTCACGAGATAAACGAGCTTGTCTGGGTCCTCCAAAGTAAGAAGGCAGAACTGCAAGCCAATCATCTGTCAGAAGCTCGACTGTCTTCAACATCATTCTGTACCATCTGGAAGCAAGTTCGTCTGTCATGTAGTGTTTGGCACTGATTTGCTGCAAATCTTCTTCGGGATTGTCTGATTTCCAATCTTCCTCTGAACGATTGTCATCCGAATTGATATCATCCATGTGGTTAGACGAAGCACTGCAATCGCGTCTTTTCCTCGCCTTGTTCTCTGCAGTACTGAAGTCACGAAAAGTTCTCTTGTAACCACGAATGAGCATTTCAAAAGCTCAAACACAAATGGCAAACTCGAGCCGAGACTGCGAATTCAAATGCGATTGCCGCTTGATGTTTCCATCATGACCAATGTCTCGTGCCTTATGATTCGACCTATCTAGGAAAACAAAAATCAAAACACTTGGAGATGTTCAAAACAAAATTGCCATAGAGAAAAAACTGAATGCAAATCACATTTAAGAGATGATAATCCTAAATTGACAACGACGATGTAAAGCAATGACGTGGCTAGCATCTGTTTTTTCGACAGCACAGACCAGTATCTGCAAATTGCTCTTATCTGCATATGACCCTTGGTGAAAATCAACAGACGCACCAAGAATAGCATGCACAGTCCCAAGCACCACATTAAGTGGATGACTCTGTGAAAGAGTCAGGAAATTAAATTTGAGTGGCGCTCGTCAGCCTGATTGTTTGTTTGAAGTTTTCTAACTTTTCAGAGAGAGCAGAAAGCTCTGACTGTAGCTCACTCAGAACACTCTCCAATTGTGCAATTCCAGTTTGCAGAGCATTCGAATCTGAAACATTTGCCACTGAAACTGTTTCATCCAATCCCCAAGGATCTTGCCAAAACTCACGGAAATGTTTGTCCCAGGTGTCACCATTTTGGTCACGCGGTGGCTTCATGTGGTTCCTGCGGTACTCATGACATTCTTGATAACTGGTGTAAGGCAAACTCTTTGGATTTTTCTCGTGCAAATCTGGGCATGACTGCGCGCACAGATAGCACAAGTACCTGTCTCGATTTTTGTGCCAAACGAAGAAATCTGTACCATCGTAGTCCCTTTTGGTATAAAGTGGTATTTCCCATGTCCAACGACAATTAGCGCATTGGCCTCCATCTGCTGTTAACAGATTCATGCTCCGATCACGAACACACCCGATCACGGACTCTGCCACGACATTGCCACAGAATGAGAAAAATACCTTGAATGAGATATATTGTCTAACATTGCGCATTGGTTCTAACCATAGCTGATAGAAAGGTTTCTACAATAGCTGACCTTGATACATGTTTTTCCATTTCTATTTGATAAAGTTCTGATCCCTTTGGGTTCATAATACACTGAAAAATATGAAATTGATCTGCCTATGCATTATGTCTATCTGTCTGATCCTTAGGCACAGCTTGTAGAGCTGACTTGACCCGAAACAAGCAAATTCCAATGAAACAACAACAAGCATTGTGAAACAGAAATTGTTAACTTATCATTCAGCAACGAAGTGCGTTCATCGTCCTCAGAAAGAGTTTTGTTTTTCCACTGAAGCTTGAGCAATTTTCTTCTGTACGGAATAATTTCATTCCTAATGATGTTGCCACAAATGTCTACGAGAAAGCATTTCTTGCATTTCTCTCAAAGCACCACTGGCTGCAAGCTGCTCGGCTGATCGATTCTGAGCATCTCTCAATTCTATATCAGCAGAGTTCTGAAGCAACATTTCCACAGCAGTAGGATCGTTTCTTTTGACTGCAATATGCAAAACTGGCTTCAAATTGCGATTCGTGACATTCAGATTTGCCTGAGCTTGAAGCAGGTACCACATGATGTGATAACTCGACTGCTCGACTGCAGCAACCAAGGGTGGCATGTTATCACAGCTGTAGTTCACGTCTGCTCCCGCTTTAATGAGCATGGGAACGATAGTTGCATGTCTGTAATCGTAATCCACGTCGTGGCGAACAGCACAAATCAAAGGTGTCCAACATTTTTGAAATCCAGGTCGAACACAGTAGCAACGATTAGGATTTGCATTAGCATGCAACAGAAGGTTCACGAATTCGGTGTTGTCCATTCTGGTGGCTGTCAAAAGAGGAGTGCTTATGGCTGATTTCGTCTCTGCTTCAGCACCAGCCTCCAATAAAAGATTGCCTACGTCCAGATGATCTCCGCCAGCTGCCAATTCTAGTAGGGTTCTGCCATATGCGTCTGTAGTGTTTGGATCAAGATGCTCGTACAATAGCAGTTCCAGGATCTGCAGTTTATTAGCCGAACAAGCTTCAACCATTTGACTTCGCTGGGACTCGTTGCACAAAACGTGCCCGGTTCCTTTGACCAGCAAATGCACATCATGCTCAATTTGGTTTAAGACTTCTCCATTTAGAATCTGTGTTCCATCCTTCGAATACAACACTTGTCTGAACCTATTGATTCCCAGCTGGTCAGAGAGTATTTTTTTGATGTCTGCTCCAGTAACACCAGGGCCAGCTTCCAAAGCAATTCTGGTCAATAATTCGCCAGAGAAAATGGACCAAACACGCACGTCCATCAAAAAGAATAAGGATCACCCTCGCGGATAACGTTTTCTGTGAAAAATCTGGAGCCATAATGTTAGCGAGTAAAATGATCAGAGGAAGCTTATGCATCATATGGAAACGGCATCATCGTTTCAACTTAATTCAGAAAAATCTATACAAAACATTTTGATAAAGCTTCAACTATTAAGAAGAAAATATACGTATCAACTCCAATGTTAAAAGCACATCAACATTCTGAACCTCCCCTCTTTTGACACAGATGCACAGAATTCACTTTTTCACATTCACTGAATTCTCCACCATTCACAGTACAGCTTTACTGAAACGTGATGATGATTTCAAGTCTGCATTCACTGGGAAAATCTGCCGATCACGAACTTACCCGATCACGGACATTCCATTCTGCTCGGACCGAACCTCTTGTGGTTAAAAAGAAAAAGACACAAATTGTGTCCATGCAAGCAATGAATCTTTTGAAGTTTTGCATTTGAACATGAACAGCCTTCTGCCATCAACGACCAGAATTGGCAGGAGGAGGATCCCAAACTACACGAGGAGGTCGTGCCTGTCTCGCATTGCTATTATTCGAGCTCTGCAAAGTTTCAACATAGTGTGGCCTTCCATAGGAACGGTTCCATGATCCCGCACCTTCAGTTTCATCCCAAGTATCCTGGGAGGAGTAACCTCCGTTTGAATTCCAGGATTGCCATCGGTTGTTTTGCCGCCATGACGATGAATCTCTCCAAGAACTGTCTTCGGTCCAGCTTCCAGATTCATGTGACATGTTCCGGTCATTCGATCTATTTTCAGATTCATGCACTGTTGGCAGCGGATGCAACGGGAAATTGCCGCTTCTTGATTGTCGATCTTGTTGCGTTGACCAACGATTCTGCCCTCGGTCGGAAGAAGATGCTGCATTACTTGCTTCTTCATTTGTGAAAACACATTCTTCATTCTTTTTTGACAAAATCTGTCGACCATACTCAAGGCAAATTTGATCGAGCCTGGTCCTCAGTGACATCATGTCACACCTCAACCTCTGAGCTTCTGCGATCATACCTGCAAAGATGTTAGAAGTCGATGTTGTTCTTTCATTTCTCGGCGAAAAGGGATCACGCCAAATCTCAGGAGACACAGAATCTCGCTCCGCCTCTAGGCTAAAAAGAGGGTCACATGGTGGCAGCATCTTTAGCCTTCGATATTGTCGGGCCGTTGCCCAGGAAAACTCAAACTGTCGGATCAATCCGTTCGGATCCTTTTGTCCATCTTGTAAAAAAGGGCAAACTTGGGCACAAAGCCAACACAAAGGTCGGTCATATTGTTTCACCCAGTTCATGAAATGAATTTTCTTGAACTCCTCTCTTGTGGCAATACATTTGTTCCATCGCCAACCACAATTGGCACAAAGGCTATTCCCACCAACAGTGTTTCCATCCATTGCCAGGAGAGGAGCTGAAAATGTATTTTGCTTGCTAATCGTAAAAACAAAGCAAGACAAAATTATTGGAGTGGAACAGCTGATAAAATGTTGGGAAACTCGCTCGACCTATAGATTTCGAAGATGAACACTCTCTCTTCTCTTGAGCACAAGCAAGCAAAATCATAAGAATTTCTTTCAACAGTGCATATTCCACCAACATCCGACCTCATAACAACAGAAAAGGAGTGCCAAGCAAGGTTGCACGGGAGATTCCGCAAACATTTTCTTCATAACACTGATAGGCATTGGAAGTACACGCATCACCATACTTAAACTCAGCTTCTCAGTCAGGTTGAATTCCATGGATCTGAAGAACACACGAGCGCCTTCAGATGCATGATGCTCAAACTGATCCAGAAGACGCGTTGATGCATGATGTTAAAACTGATGCTGAACATAGGATGTAAGGAATGGCTCTGCGCATGGCACACGTACCTCGGATCCACCCGTGAGACGCGGCCGAACCCATTCGGGCAGAGCCAGGGCTCGACCGGGCAGACCGTCGAGGCGACGCAGAATCAAGAACAATATGTCCTTGCAATGAAAACCCAACATGGGTCTCCCCAACCACCCAACCTCCTTGATGGTACCACCCAATTTGGTTCCACCAAGGCTCTACTGTTTGATCTGTCTATACTCTAGACAAATCAAACATTAGAGCCTGGATCAAGCAATAAAACTTCTGTTTCAATAACCCGATCACGGACAGACCGATCACGAACAAGAAATCGCATCAGACTCAACTTCCAGCAACCTCATCAAGTAAAAGAAACTTTTTGCGATGGGGGTCGGCCCCCCTCAGCGGGAGCGCTGCCCAAATTTCCGGCATGATTCTCTGAGGCTAAACCCTAAACTCTGGATAAAAAGAACTATGTTGTGCCAAAATCTGCATAAAAAAGAAGAAGATAACCAATCCTGTAGACAATTTGCACTTATCTGAGAATCTGACACTTCAGGAATGGCGTTGAAGCAGAAGAATCAAACTCAAGGCCCTCGTTCAGAAAGGTTCCATGGAATGCGAGTGTATAAGCAATATACTCCAACTTCAATGTCCAGAATAGCGCAAAGACGACTTCAGCTGCTGAAGCGGATGAAAAAATAAATAAATCACTGCATACGAGAGTCGGCTGACCTTTATCTGAGAATCCGACACTTCCGCAATTCCCACAAAACTGAAAGCCCAACTTAACAGGTCGCTAATAGAAGCTGGGGAGCCAGAATGAATAAGACGTAATCATGTCATGTGA